GTTGGTAAATAGTTCAGGTCAACAGTAGGAACGATGTCACGAGGTGTCATAGGACTAGAAGGCAAATGGGGATCAGGCAGTGGCAAGTGAGAGGACAGGTGGCCATCTAGGGAGGATGATCTGGGGGGAAATGTACACTGGGAAGGATTGTAACTGTGGGCTGAGGAATTTGGATGGTTAAAAAAGAGGGTAATAAGATTTCAGGTAAGAAAAATGGGATCAGCAAAAGCAAGTTTGTAAGAAAGTACATTTTCAGGAGATGTCAAATAAACCAGTGTTACTGACATCAAGATTTATTTAGAAAGTATTAAGTTGACCTGCAAATGCCAAGCATGATGAGCCCACTACTTCACTCACTCATTCAGCAAAGGTTGATTGAGGATCTAATATAAGGTCATTGGTGAAAGAAACAGTATAAAGCTCTGTCCTCACAGCAAGTTCATTCTAGTGGAGTTGAGCACGTTGCCAGATGCAGGAGTTTGGGCTGTACATGATAGGGAGGGGGAGCCACTGAAATTGACATAGTCAGAGAGTGACTTTGTCATGGTGGTATCTCAGCATAATGAAGCTGAATGTGGTAGGTTGGGTGGCGTGGACACTGGCCTCAGAGACCCATGTCCTAGAGACCAGGAGTGATCACTGAGGAGTGAGAGCGTCTAGTCAGTCTGGGGCAAGCAGAGCAGACCCTTGGGTGAGCATGACCAGCACAGAGGAAGTGAATGGGCCTGGGGGATACACAAGGACAGGCGGTGCCTTCCTCATGCCTCCACTGTACACGTGCAGCTCCAGCGCAGATGCCCAGGTGCATGTTCTTCCTGGAGAACTCATACCTGGGAGATGTGAAATGATGACATAAAATAAGTAGTTTGTCCCTTGGCAACTCAAGAGAGACAATTTATATCATGGTAAGACTAGAGAGAGAGAATGTTCATCAAGGACCTGGATGCCTTCTGTGTTTCTAAAGTCTTTCCTTCATAATAAATGTGCAAAGGCAGTTTTCCCTTCAGAATGAAAGAATAATATGTTTTCTATTAACAGAACATCTAGATGCCATAGAAATATAAGGAAAAAGGCAATGGTAATAACTCCAAATCCCTGACTTAGAAGTCATAATTGCTGCTATTTTAGTTACTGTTTCACCTAATATTTTTGCATGTCTGACAGATGTCTATTTTTTAGAACACAATTATAAATGCAGGGATTTTTTTCAGTTTTAATTTCTGTCCTTTGCACATGATATGAGCATTCCTTTACATCATTAAATTTTTTTTCAAAACTCTGATTCTGAACCGTTACATAACATCTCAGCATATGGACATTGTGTTCTTTCTTTTTGTTCTTTTTCTTTTTGTATTATAAAGAAAGTACAATGTAAGTTTCTATACAAATCCGTGTTCTTTCATTATGAGTCCCTGGATCTGGACTGATGAAACCAAGGGCATCTTTTTCAGAGAAGCCGAGATATTTACTTTTCCTGAAAGATGTTCAGGGCTCAGGAAATTTAGAGGTGGGTGCCGTGGGGCCCAGCAGGGGGATGAGACCAGCAAGACACAGCCAGGAAGGGCTTATTGACATCATCACAGATAAACAGGAGAACTGAGAGAGCCGAAGGGTTACGATGATAGGAGAAGAAACGTCCTCAATGCCCGCTAAGCAGTGGCGAAGGAAAGAAGACCTCTGTTAGTGCGCTCTGGTCTTTCAGAAGGATTATGCTGGTGACCGTACGAGGGCCCTCCAGACCACAGCCAGGGAAATCAGGAGAACCCAGCTCTGGACTGGACAGCTGAAGAGGAGAAGGGGTAACTGTAAGTCTTCAAGGTGGTGCTGCCACTGTTTGTATAATTCCCTTGGTGTGTCCTGAGGGTTAGCTGTTTCCATGTGCTCAGATCCACTTCTAACTCTTCCCCTGCTCTGCTTTATATCATAGGGAAATGCTCTTTCCAGGATCCTTTACCTTCTAACTCCTTGCTATGCATGAACAAGGGAAGGGGTTGTGAAAATACTAAAGGACTGAAGAGGGAAGACAGAGGAAAACAGGGCTCTGCCCCCTTGTTCACTGCCTTCGGAGGAATCTCTGGTAGTGGCAGGTTCTCCTATGTGCTTTAGCTTCCCCAGGACATGTCCTCCCTTCCTGGTCTCAAAGCCAACTGAATATTTATTTCTCCCTCCAGTTCGGGAGTGGTAGCTGTTTTCTGCTATTGGCAATTCATGTGTTAATTTAATCTCTTAGTTAGCCTTTTAGTAGCTTTATACCTATGAAAGCCATCCTATCTATTAATTCTCTGTTAAAAACCCTTCAGCAGTTTTTCCCCATTGCAGCTGATATGAATAAAACATTAAGTAATAACTGCCGCAGATCTACAGAGAATTAGAAATCTTGGCTAGCTAATATTTTGCTTTCCACAAATAACTTTGTATTAACAAAAAAATCTCATTAGTTCTTACATCTTGCAGGAAATCTTTGTAAAAGGTATAAATACATTTTTCTATCTTATTGGTAATTTAATCAATAAACACTTATAAAGGGTATATTGCATGTCAGACACTATGCTGGACCTTTCTTGGAGGCTATGGTTTGATAAGGAAAGTAGATATTAATCAGATAATCAGACCTAGAGATATGGATTTGTGATGATGATGAGAGAAGAAGGTAAGACTATGGAACTCTGCCTCAGTTCATGACAGGGTGGTCTACTGAGAGCTGAGAACCAGAGCGAAACAGAGCTGAACAATGAGTAGGGTTAACCAGAAGAGAAGCGGGGGTCGTTTTCCAGGCAGAAGAATAATCTGTGTGAAGGCTTGAGGATGGGAGAAGGAATGGTGGATTTGAGGAGTCTTGTGGATGTGGCAGAGGAAGTGCTGGAGAGGTAGGTGTGCAGGAGTTGGTAGGTTCCACTGAGCACTGTTCACTTTATACTAAAAGGAACAGGAAGAGCATGAAGGCATTTGGGCAACAGTAGCGGCGGAAGGCTGTAATGTGGTGACATGATCATGCACTTTTAGGAAGGGTCACAGTTGAGGGGTGGAGAGATTGGCAGAGGGCCTCACAGTGAATGCAGTTAGATCTGCTGGAAGGCAACTACAGTGGTCAAACTCACTGCCTGGTGCTACGATAGAGAGAAGCAAGAAGCACAGTGCATACAACAGAATTTAATCTTTTTATATAATGTTTCAGAATCTTTCCACGAACTCAGATCACCAATGTGACAATCTTTTCCCATTAGATGAGGCTGTGGCTATAGAAGATGGGGATGGCTTTAGCTAATAGTTTTTCTCCTTTCCATCAAATAAGAATCAAGTTTGAAAATCGAGTGTTGGTTGCTTCAGATGTTAGTCTCTATACAAGTGTTTACTCATGTCCTCTCAGGCAACCTGTACCTAGATACTGTTTTATAATAACATATATTAAAGCAGGATTGGACACTGGCCTCAAAGACTGTTGTCTTAGTTACTTTCTCATAACTGAGACAAAATACCTGATACCCACAAGTTAAAGAAGCAAAGGTTTATTTTAGATCACAGATGGTAGAGATTTCAGTCCATAGTTGGCTGACTCCAAGGAGGGGGAGCATGGCAGGGGTATGACAAAGGAGAAACAGTCTGTGGCATGGCAGACAGGAAGCAGCAGCCTTCCTTTCTGCTTTCCCCTTTATTCCATCCAGGCTACAAGCCTATTGGTTGGTGCCACCCACGCCCAATGTGGGTCTTCCCTCTTTGGTAAATCCATCACCCACACCCAGAACTATGCTAAACCAATCAGTGGGCTAATCCAATATCACAAACTCATGATCCAGTCACTCCCCAAAGCCTCACCTATGAGCACAGGAGGCTTTGATGGGCTATCTAGATATAAGCCGTAACAACTGTCTAGCCCAAAGATGTTCAGTATTCAATAAAGTTCCATTAGGGACCACTCAGAAGCATGAAGAGAAGTAGTACCAAGGGTCCTTTTTGTACTGGTACATGTTTGCAGTACATGCATCTTATAATTATCTTAGGGAATTAGTGCATGTACATAATACAGCTGGTTTCCTTTTTTAATCCCCTTCTGCTTCCAGCCTCCGACCCCCAGAATGAACATATACTTCACAGAGGAAGAAGTACAAATGGTTAACAAATATACGAAAAAATGTTCAACATCTCTGGCCATTAGAGAAATGCAAATTAAAACAACATTAGGTTTCCATCTTACATCTTTTTCAACAGAATACTTCTACCTTAATCTATAGTTATTGGGATTCTATATAGTATTTCACTTTTAAAAGGCTCTACCAAAAAATATTTAAGAACAATGCCTCTTTTTAGAGATAAGGAAACTAGGGTCAGGAAAGTGAAGCTGATTTATCTGTGGTCAAGTAGTCAATTCATGGTAGAGTCATAATTAGACTTAGGATTTCCTGACTTTTTCAATTCTCATGGCTTTTTCTAATAACTAAAGATAAAGTGATTCATTCACTTATCTTCTGGATTTTAAAAATCCGGTTTTGAAATTCAACATACTAGCTGTGAAAAGAAAACTCTTTACCCTGGATGCTTTGGTATTTAGTAGACCCAGTCACACCTGTTTGTTTCTCTATTTAAGCTTCAAAACTTTTTACATTTCCTGTGTTTCCAGATTGCTCAATAAATATTTGATGATCGGTTTGCCATCATTCATGCATTTTTAAAATTCAGTGAACAAACATACACTAAATGCCTAGGATGTATAACCACTACTAGGCTCTGGGGCTATGAAGCACCAGGTGAACATATCACTACAGCAGAATAATAATGAAGTAGAATTGGCATATGTGCAAAGAGATGTGTAATCATAGATGCACTTGATTTAGGAATTGGAATGATGGTACTAGGTGTACCAATTTTACCAGATAAAAACACAAGTTACTCAGCTAATCTAAAACTCGGGCAAATAACAAAGAATTGTTTAGTGTAAATGTGTTCCAAATATTTCATCAAACATATTTATGCTAGGAGCATACTTTTGTTTATCTGAAATTTAGGTTTAACTGGATGTCCTGAATGTTCTCTGGCCAACCTAGGAGATGCAACTGGCAGACTAGAAAATGAACTTCCATGAGGTTGGTGTTGAAAAGGGAGCCCTTATCCAAAGAGGTCTTATCCTGAGACCTCTTATCCAGAGGTCTCAGGATTCGCTAAGGGTGATCAAGTCCAGATGTGAGGAAAGGTGAGGCTGGGCAAGGATAGGAATGGGGAGAGAAGCATTCCAAAGTTGAGAGATCAGAATTGAGTTTGCAATTTCACTTAGTTCTGGAAGTTGAAGCCAGGGTAACGAGAACTAGAACCCAAATGAGGGATATGACCTGTGCTTATTGGAAAAGAGAAAAAAAAATCATTATGTTCAGAAAATACCTTCTAAGAAATCCCATGAGAATCAGATGAAAAGTAGTTGGAATAGATGAGAGTTCAGCAAGGTCATTAAATGGGAAATAAACAATAAAAAGTCAGCATTTTTCTTTTATAACGGCAATAACCACCTAGAAAATATTACGGAAAGAGATTGTATTTGGATGACCAATAAAAGGACAAAGCAACTACAAATAAACTACAAAATTATGGAATGTGTAGGGCTTATATAAGAAAGAAGTTTTCAGAGACATGAAAGGAGTTGAAAAAATGGAGTGGAGGGGAGTCATGCTATATTCCTGTGTGAGAAAAGCAAATACTGTAAAGATGCAGATATTCTCAAAATTTATTTATAGGGCTAACGAAATCATAATATCTCAGTAGGATTTATATTCAGAAGAACGAAGTAGTAAGAATAACTGGAGAAATTTGCGGATCAAAGGATCAAAGAAGGACTCAGCTACTGCTACCTGACATTAAAACATTTCTAAAGCTGCTCTCCCTACACTGGAGTTGTATTTGGGAGGAAGTTGGCAGAGAAAGCAACAAGGTGGGACTGAGAAACCAGAAGCACACTGCTGTCCAAGATGCCACCCTACACACTGGGCCCAGCACAGATCAGCAGGGAAAGGAAGCATCACCCAAGACAAGGTGCTACGAACACGTGAGTACCTAATTGGGAAAATAAATGAGTAGTTTTCCCCTCATAGAAAATACTAACTTCCAGATACATTCAAGAGTTAAATGCAAAAATTAAACCCAAAAGAAGAAAACAAGGGTGAACATTTATCTGCTCTCTGGGTTTCAGTTATGTACTGACAGGTTTGAAGGACTTGGGGTGATGTAAGTCCAAATTGTCAAAGGCACGAGGAGTTTTTAATAGATCTAGTCTTTGTGGAGAGGTGCTGACTGAGGAGGAAGGAGTGTCTGCTGTCCAGCAGATTGCTTAGAAGAGGCTGGGATAATGCAGGCCAGAAATGGTGAGAGCTGGCTTGGTAGGAGAGAAAGAGCAAGAGAAGACCATGGAAACTAAGAGCAGCTTCCCTAGGAATTTGTTGTGTGTACTGTGTGTCTAGACACAAAGGGATATATGCTAGGGATATCTCTTTTCAATGGTTTGTAAAAGGGTAAATTTTTGGTAAAACCTATTTTTATTATTCCCATATACAAGACCTCCCCACAATTCAGGCCTTTTAAACTCCATGCCTCGCATAATCAAATTCAGTGTTTCCCACTTTCTATGTTTTCTTTTCTCAGTCTCTGGAAACACGATATAACTTAAGTTCCTCTGTAATCGATAAAATATTGTACAGTGTGTGTGGAATCAGATATGTCTGTGTTTTTATAAATGTACATTAGAGAGGAACAGGAATGGAACAGAACAAGGCTGACTTGTTCATGCTTTTTAATACAGATATGCTATACTAAACAGCATGATATGTCATAAAATGAAACCTAATATTCAAAAATGAGATTGCAGTCTCTCCATGTTTCAGTGGTTTTCCTGGGAGACAAATCTTCTTTCATTTGAGCAAGCACACAAAAGTGTTTTTTTATGAAGTACTAGGAAACACCCAACCATAAAGTTGTGTTGGTGAAGTAAGTACCAAAACAATTATAATCAAGCTATATTTCAACTCACTTGCAGTGGAATTTCTAAGTCGAAGCTTAGAAGTGGGCATTTGTGCAACATAATGTGCATGACTCCTCTGATTGGCCCCAACTTTTTTCTAAAGTATTTAATATTCTATTAGGTTCTTCAGGAACTTTGATGGCTCAAATCGAAGAAGGTTTCAGGAATGTCAATGTCAGGACTTAAAGGTACTTGATTATAGTCCAACTGGATGCACTCTGATTAAACCAAAGTCTTACCCCCTAGTAGAATTCTTTAAGTGGGCATATGGAGGAAATAATAATTCTTTATATTTACACCCCCAAATGGAGTCATAATTCAAATTTTGGATACCTTACACTGTATAACATTTTCTGGTGACATTTCTCATTTTACATTAATAATTAGTGTTAAAATATTTGATGGAGCAACAAATTTGTATCTAATGTAAATGCATACCATTTGTAGGCTGTGTCTGAATAGCTTTGTTTCTTCTTAGTAAACTATGCATGAAAACAGCCATCAATAGAAATATACGCCCTGTTGAATGGAAGACTGAAAGCTTATTTACAGAGCAAATGCAATCATATACTGAGTGACAGAGTAAGCATTAGCTCTGAGCCTGGCTGCTGTCACAAATCTGTAGTTTATTTAACGGATAGAAGGAAATAGGTGCAGAATTACTCTTTTTGCTTTGAGCATAGAAGCCTCTGCATCTTTCTGGGGTTTTCTGAGTGAGCTATTTAAGTGAAGAGGGCAAAGGGTTATAGATAATGGCACAGTTAAAACGAGAAAACCCGAGATGAGAGCGCAGGAAGCAGGACCAGGAAGAATTAAGTTTTTTTCTGGTGCCCATGAATGTGTAAAATAAAATCCTTTATGTCACACTCGTCACACAAACATTTATTAAGGACCTGCCAATAGGAGGTAGGTGGGCCTTTGAATATGCAGAGCGGAATGAGACGCAGCCTTCCAGGAGCACAGAGGCCAGCGAGGGAGACCAACATGATTTTCAGATTACTCATTAGCTCTTAACAAAGTGCTAAGTCCTCTATCTGAGTTGTATGTCAAGGGCATATGATGCCCAAGGAGCCACTTGACTTCTGGGAGGGCCAAGGAAGACACCAGCCTTGATGGAAGAGTTTGAAAGCCAAAGGATGCTAGTGCTCTCAAGATGAGCTATGGAAATGCCTTCATCAAATATTCTTCATAGCAAAAGATCAGTAAGAGACGCAACTCAGGTACCTGCTCATATGATGACTTCCCTCTCTTTCTAATCTCTCTCAGTGTTTTCATCTGTCTCCATGATGCTTATGAACAGAGAATGCAGATGAATAATGGGAAGGAGGTGAAGGTTGGCTTGCGTATCCTGGTTGTTTTATTTTTATGAATATATATTTTAAGCAGTATTAGGTTTGCAGTAAAGCTGAGGGCAGGGTACAGAGAGTTCCCATATGCATCCTGGCCCCCCTCCAGCCTGGTCCCTTTGTTACAACTGTTGAGCCTATACTGACGTCATAGCCATTCAAATGCCATAGTTTACACTAGGGTTCACTTTTGGAAGTGCATATTCTATGGCTTTGGGCAAATGTATGATAGCACACGTTCATAATTATAGTATCATACCTAGTAGTTTTGCTGCCCCAAACATCCTCTGGGCACTGCCTATTCATTCTTCCTCCAGCTAACCCCTTGCAGCTACTGATCTTTCTACTGTCTCAATCATTTTGTCTTTTCCAGAATGTCATATTGTTGGGATTGTGTAGTGCATAGTCTTTTCAGAACCATATAATGTGTAGTTTTTTCTTTCCCTTACTAATATCCATTTAAATTTCCTCCATATCTTTTTATGGCTTGATAGTTCATTCTTTTAGCACTGGGTAATATTCCATTGTCTGGATGTAGCACAATTTATTTATCTATTTACCAACTGAAGGACATCTTGGTTTCTTTCAAATTCGGGCAATTATGAATTAAACTGCAATAAAAAATTGGCATGCAGTTTTTTGTGTGAGCCTAAGTTTTCAGCTACTTTGGATAAATGCCAGAGTATGACTGCTACCTAGTATGGCAAGAGTATGTTTAATTTTGTAAGAAACTACCAAACTGCCTCCATTTTGCATTCCATCAGCAGTGAATCTAAGTTCCTGTTGCTCCACATCCTCACCAGCATTTGATGTTGTACAGTTCTAGACTTTGGCCATTCTAACCACCAAACATGGTGGTGTCTCACTGACATCTTAGTTTGCTTTTCTCTAGTGACATATGGGGAGCATTTCTGCAGAGCTACTTGGACATCTATATTTTCTTTGGTGGGTGTCTGTTCTGGTCTTTGGCCCATTTTTATTGGGTTGTTTGTTTTCTTCCTGTTGAGTTGGAGGATTTCTTTATAGTCTGTAATTGTGTCTAATTCAGCACTCAGTCTTTCCTAGTTCATTTCTCTGATGCTATAGAACCAGGTGATAAGTCATTTCCTGTGACCAATAGTTTTTTGTTCTACAGAAAATGACCATAGAGATTTTGTTTTAATCCATACCACAGTTTCTGTGTAGCTGAATCACAGTGGACTAGGGAAATACTCTGAAGCCAGAGCAGTGTTGGAGGCAATGACTGATCTCAGGTAGCTCCCTGACCATGGACAAGCCACTTAACCCCTCCTGAGCTGTAAAATGGGGTAATAACACAGAGTGTTACTGACTTCAGTGTTGCTGAGGATCAAACATGATAATATATATGAAAGGACTTTATAAGTTCCATAATGCTATTCAGATGTGAAGGGTTATTATTTTTATATGCTCAAGAAGGCTGGCACAGCCGCTCTCCCAGATGACTAAAAAGCGTATGTGATTTTATTTGCTCCAATAATTTTATTCTTATTAGTACTTGTTCAGTATACTACATGAGCATGCACAATGCACAAAGCATTTATTCTTCTTTGGCTACAGTAACTATACCCCTCCTTCCAAATCTACCCTTGTAAAAACAAATAAGACTCATAAAACAAAACAAAAGCAGAAGAAGAAGAAGAAGAAGAAGAAGAAGAAGAAGAAGAAGAAGAAGAAGAAGAAGAAGAAGAAGAAGAAGATGATGATGATGGTGGGTGGTATTATTTATAACTATATATCATCAAAGGACTCACCTGTCAGTTTGCAAACCAGCTGTCCTTGACAGTGGGCAGTTAATTCTGTGCCCACCCTCCTCCCCCGCAACAGGGGGATCTATTGCTCTTTCTTCTCTATTTTTTCACTTTCATTTTTAATGTGGTTTTCTAGCCCTCCACTTCAGGAGGTAAATACAATTCTGGCAAAGTCTCAGTCTAATTTAGTTTATTGGGGCTTTTACTACAAGTTTTTAAGCACTCACTGATTTTAAAAAACATATTAAAATGGCCATGGCCAATCTTGTAGATTGGTACAAGTCCACATTTCCCAAACGACTTAATAGTCTGCAACTTGTGCCAGACAGAGAATGAGCTCACCATTCTCTTTCCCACAGCATAAAGGCTGGACGTTGTTGTTTAACTCTGTGGTGGGAGGGAGTGGTTTGCTTTGCCATCCTCCTCTCCTGCCTCGAATGCCCTCTAAGTTTTATAGGTTCCACTGTCCTGGAGGGCACATTAAGTGCCCAAAGAACATCATTGTGGGCCATTTCTGGGACAACCAATCCTGCCTTGGCCCATACTTGGAAGGTGGAGCTTCTAGGGAGGTTTTTCCAGACAGTGTTTGATATTTTGAGCAGAGGAGTTGTAAAAGCTATGGAGACCCTGTCTTATGGCAAAATAATTAAAATTGTGACTTATGTAGCTGAATCTTTTTCCTTTTTAAACATTTCTCCATCTCTTTTCTACTTGTAAAACACAAATTCAGCAAACATTTGTGGAGAGCAAATAAACACATGGATCAATATTCTACTGCCAGGCTAAAAACCGGATCATAGGGATGAACTCACAATCTGTCGGACAAAATCACATCAATGTGGAGGTACTATATGACATACTGGGGTGACGTTTAGGGTTAGACGTGAAGTCATGTTTCAAGGTGGTGCAGGGCAGACAAGGCGAACTATGAGGGTAGAGACTGACAAAAGAGAAACATGACCAATGGCTTACAAAAGGACAAATGGAACCACGAAACTCTCCTTCACAAGATCTTTCCTGATATTCACGTTTCACTTCTTATTTGAGGGCTGCTATCTTATTTCCACTTGTTAGTTTGTACACAGCCCAGAGTGCCATTCTTTGCCTGGTGACCCAAGGAGGCAGCATGTTTCTTAATAGTCTGGAGAAACAGTAAGGTAGGAGGCTTCCAGATTGAATTCTGCCACAGCGGTGCATGGATCTAGGACAAGTCACTTTCATTTCTAAAAGGAGACAAAATAACTTAGGATCTGCCAACCTCACAGGGCTGATCTGAAGATCAAATGAGATTACAAGCTCTGTGCTTTGTATGAAAATGTTTGAAAATTTTCTAAAACGCCATGGAAATACAAAACAGTGTATGTATGTCCTCTGGGTAATTATAGCTGCAAATATAATGAAGTGGCTTTTGAATGGTGAAATTAAATTACTGGTTACTTCTTTTAAGTTTTATATTATGCACATAAATATATATTCATACACATATGACATTATGTGTGCATATGCAGTATATGTATGTACATATTTGTGCATATAATGTCTGTTTATTCTAAGAAGAGAAAGAAAATAACAGGCAAACTGTAGGCCATGGCTCCTCTGCAGCTTTTCTGGGTGGTTGGGAAGCCATCCTCAGAGCCAGTCCGGAGTGGAGAGCTTCCACTTTTTGCCGTTACCTACATAAGTCACTTGTCACTTCACCTTTCTAAGTCTCAGTTTCATCATCTACAAAATGAGACTGGACAACAGGCCTGCTTCACCAGATTATTGCAAAGATGAAATGACATTTTTCCTACATTCTTAAAGAGTGTGACATAGAGTAAGTGCTCAATGACTAGTAACCATTTCTATCCTTGTGTACATTTTCTTTTTTAAAAACTTTGGGTACATTCCTCCAGTTTCAGAGACCAGAATACAAAAAAAGAGCCATGTAGGGATGGCTTCAGAACATTCCAGATGAAAAAGGCATTCATGTAGGAAAGATGAAGCTCCTTGTTATGGTCTTCTATGGACATATCAACATTGCACTGAATTAACATTATTTTTCTAATAGCAAAGAGCATCACTCATGCCCTAGACTCAACAGTAAACCTGGGAGAGGCATATATTATGTTAGCAACTTGGAATAGAAACTCCCTTTGAAAGCTGCCCAATAAAGAGCCTTTAATGTAGTGCACATAATGCAGGGCAGCAGGTTTTGTAGTTAATGAACCTAGAAGCCAAGGCTGATGGTGTGGCTTGGAGAGCCCTGCTCCTTCCTCAATGCTACAAAGTAAATTAGCATCAAGTCCTCTGTCATGAAACTTTCAATAAAGAGCCTATTATATAAGACATTAAGCCTTTCTCTAATTACAGCTATAAATATAGATAATCAAGTCATTTTGAGTACTAAAATCAATTTTACTGTTTACACTCTTGCCATGCTATATATTTAGCTATTGACTTTTAACTTGAAGACATAAGCAGCTGGTGAAAAATATCCTTAGAATACTAATTACATTGTCATGGGGAATACCAATAAATGTTGCCTGCCGGGGAGTTAACAAGGATTGAACAGTATAATTGTTTTACCGACTAAAACACTATACACTGGGAGAACCTATGATTTCATTTCATAAATTAGATGCTAAATACTTTTTTCTGGCTACTTTCAATAGTGTTATCTCTGTAATAACAAACTTCCCTTTAAGTTCTTGGTTGCCTGTGCAGGCCCAGGGCTCAAATGGACCCTTCTATTCTGAATTACAGGTTTGCATATGAGATTATACAAAGAGATGTGGGCTCATAGAGGCAGAGTGCGACTCCCCATATGCAATTGTGTGCATGGATGACGGCCATGGACAAGTTTACATACCTACGAGCTGGCTGTACAAAGTATGGCAGACCTGCTAAATTCACTTCTATTTGACTTGCATCGCAGAGACAGGAAGTGACCCTGCCCACCAGGAAAAAGTGATGCAATCAACTATGAGAATAGCCACCCTTCTTTTACTGGGGAAGGTAAAGGAAAGGGTGGCAAGAGAGGCCCAAAGAATTCTCACCACCACTCCATGCAGGAGAACAGAAGCCTGCATCAGCATCCTGTCATCACTTCATCCTCTAGGAATCTTTGGTTCATTTTGTTTTCTTACTTACTCATATCTAACTATTTGTTCATATGAAAGTATTGATTGAATGCTTCTGGTTAGACATCAAGCTATGGGATGAGCTCAGTCTACTGGTTTTCAAGTGATGGTGTCTCCAAAGAACGCTTCTATAAATGAAGTGAGATTAAAGAAAGGTGAGTCCAGATTTGGGGACAGAAGCTAGGGATGGTTTAGCAGGCTAAGTTTCTACAGAACAACACAGCTCTCTTCTGGGTATCTTACAAATAAGATTTCACTGATTCCTCGGAGAACCCCATGTAGGTAAGTGTAATTCAATATGTGGATGAAACAAGTGAGGTTTAGACCAGTTGAATGATTAGCCCCAGGTCACACTGCTTGCTAGAAGATGAGCAGGAATTAAAATCCATATTTTCATGGCCTTTCCTCCTTAACATTCATTTCCTGTCTGGTCTTTGCATTTCTTCAGACTGGCCTAGAGGCAGAAAAGCCAAAGCTTATTCTACTGTCCCTACAAATGGCTATTGTCACAATTTTTGCCTGTTTTCATTTCTTTTTTTTGCCTGACACTTTTTGGAAAAATGTGTTCTCTTCTTCAAGTTGTCTGGAGCACCGAGTACAGAGATTCAAACAAGGTCAGGAATTCCTCAGTCAGCACTCAGAGTCAAAAGCAACTGGCAGGAATCTGACAAGATTTGTTTTTGGTTAAGGAAACACAAGAAATTTTGTTTTCTACTCCTTTATGTAATTCTAGGAGGGCATATGTTGTTAACAGGGAGTCTCTCTGTTCTGTCTTCTTCTTCTCTAAGCCTAGAATCTCCCAAAGCATGTTTTAAGGAATTCTTGTTCTAGAATCACAAAACCTATGTTTGAGAAGTGCACACCTGTAATCTGAGCCCTCTGGAAGGCTGAGGCAGGAGGATTACAAGTTTGTGGGCAACTTAGTAACTTACTGAGATCCTGTCTCTAAATTTAAAAAATAAAAAAGGGCCAGAAATGTAGGTCAGTACAAAGGCTCCATGTTTAATTCCCAGTACTGGAGAGAAAAAACAGAAATCTATGTTGGAATAGGTTTGGGAAATGCTACACATTATGTAGTCTCATAGTAATTTAGGAGGCCCATCAGCACATAAAATGATCTGAGAAGTCCTGTGGCAAAAGCCAAACAAATAGAATGTGCTACCTTTCACCTTAGCTGTTATGGTCCCTGGAATGCCATTCCCACTTGCTCTGAGGCTAGAAATCCTACTCATCCTTCAAGGTCAAGTTTTCAAGATATATAGATCAAGCCTCAGGTCCACCCCCAGAGTCTTATTTGGGAAAAGCTGAGATAATTTCAAGCACTTTCTTAAGTACAGATTTCAAGTAACATTAAGGTAACTCTAATAACCAGTTGCTGAGTTGGGCTCCACTGTTGAGATTTTCCAGGAGAGGCCTCAAATCTGAATATAGGTTAGCAGTTTCTTGATCCAGGAATCCAGGGGCTAAAATGTGCTCATGCCAGCAAGATTAGCATAGCTTGCCAGCTATGTATATTAATAACTTCATATATCTGATGACATAGTTTATAGTGGGGCATGTTTAAATGAGCTTCCTTCAAATAATAACTAAGTTTTTGAAGAAGCCTGGCTGAGTGTCCTGGAGAGTTGCACAATTCGTGAGCAGCCTGAGTAGGAAACCCACTGGAGCAGATGGTTCTGGGATCACAGCAGAATTTAACCCAGGCTCAGTTTACCCAAGTCTGGCTTTCCTTGTGAAGATACTTTGAACTCTGTTCGCTTTGCAGTACTGGAGATTGAACCCAGGACCTGCGTGTTTTTTGCACTGAGCTATAGCTCCATTTAATTTTTTTATTTTTATTTTGAGACAGGGTCTCACAAAGTCACTAAGTTGTCTAGGCTGGGTTCAAACTCACCATCCTCCTGCCTCAGCCGCCCAGTGCTGGGGTTATGGGTGTGCACCATCACACACTGCTCCTTCTAGGAGCTTTTAACTTGGTTATGACAAAGTGAGTGTAGACATTCTGTCACCCTCAAGAGACCATTATTTAACTGATTTTAAAGGTTGGTTATTTTAACATACTGGAACAATTGGTAAAGAGAGAGTTCTGTAGCAGTTATTCTGTATTTATCATCAATTCCATTGTGATTTTCTTAAGGGACAGTGAAATTCCAACAGAAACCATGAACCCAACTGGAAAAATAAATGTGGCCTAGGATGTAACTTAAATAAAATATTCCCAGGATGCCCAAAACAAAACAAACAAACAAACAAACAAAATTGTGCTAGAAGCTGTGGTAAAATTAAGATCTTAGGTGGTTAAAATACTAAAATCATAGAAAGTAACAGTTTCACATCTTTATTCCTGCTGTTGCAAGCATCATATATTTTAAACTATAGAGGGGTATGTTTTCTCAAACAAATGCTGTATCGGTCATTTATTTTGTGTGCCCTTTTTCTTTCCAGCAAATAAGTCCAACTGGAGAGGGTGAGTCACCCATGTGTACACTTCCTCTTTAGCCAAAAGTGGGGCACTAACTGTAGGCAGACTGCACAAACTCCCCCGGCTCTGGATCTTCCTTATGTAGTGCAGATAGGCCAGCCCTCTAGCTTGATCTTGGCTCTTTCTTCTGAGCCATCTATTCAAGCCCAAAGTGAGATGATTTTCCCCTCTACACTCAGCCATTATGAAAAACAGTCATTCCATGTGGGCAGTCAAATGTCCATCTGTCCCATCTGCAATGCTGGGCAGCTGCAGAAAGACCTGTACTCAGTAGTCTCTGCTGTGGCCCCTGGGCCACGATCCTTATCAAGCTTGATGAGCTCATGTTCCCCTGGCAGGGTCTGTGGCTAGATGGGGACCCTTCTGGAGAAATCAACCTAACCACTGAGCTGAATACATGATGGACAGTTATTGGCTCTGCTGGTCAGACTGGAATGATGTTGTCACTCACTATGGAGAGAAGAACTGAGGTATCATTTCTGCTGGGAACTGTAGGCAAACATACTTTCCTACAGTTAAGAGGCTAACAGTGGCTCTAGTTCCTGGAAACAGTTTTCTTGGAATCATGTAGTTTGCTCAAGCATGGATGGGGGTGGTATTATTTGGGGAATATCAAGTGTTCTGACCTGGAAAAGAGTCTGCATTGTACCCCGAGGGAATCTGTATTTCAAATGATAGAAGGACTCTTTCCTCCTACCATGCCTGACAACCAGCAACATCACAGGAAGACAGAGCTCGGGCTGAGTGCTCAGATCTTTTCAGCTCTTCTTCCTCTCTCCGTACCTTGCCCCCTATGTTGCACTGTCTGCTCATAGAAGTATTTTCTCACATATACAGCAGGGGACTTGCTTCAGGGGCTTCATTCACGTACAAGTAAGAAAGAGCTTTGAGGCTCTTGGGCCAAATTATTTCCATTTAATATCTGTTGAAAGGCAACGATGTTCAAAATACAGGGTGAGGGACAGTGATGCAGTGACCATGAAAAATGGTGAAGACAGCCTGCTTTGCTGTCAATGGAGTTCTCTTAACTTCTTGTGGTCACTGAGTGGGATCCAACATATAACCCCGCCCCCCATCCCATGCATTCCCGAGCGCATATCCATCAAATCCAAACTTTAAACTTGAGTAACTATATCTGTCTCACAAAGTCCAAGGTATTTATTACAGGGATCACCCACTTCAGGAATTCAAACAATGTTCAGACGAAGGAAAAATCCCTTACCCGGGTTTTAAACTCCGTTTCCCCTCTCTCCAGCTGGCTAGCAGAGCCTGGCATGAAAGCCAGAGAGCCCAGCAACTCCCATCCTCCCGTTTCTCAGCCCCTCATCCCCACTCTGTTTAACCCCTCCTTGCACAACCACACCCATCTGCATCATTCACCAAAGCAAATCCTGTGGGCTGGTGCCACGCCGGCAGGAGGGCCCCAGGGGACACGCGGGAGGTGTGAACAACCATCCGCAGCCCCCTTCACCTCACACTCTGCAAAAATCAAATAAACAGATTTGAATTACAAGAGCAAAAAAGGGTATTTTCTTGCCTCTCCCTCTCCCTATTCCTTCCCCCCACTATCTAATAATAGGCTATTAATTCCTGTCATCTCAGACTGTCTGAAGTGTGCAGTGTAAACTGTGGCTGCACCAATCAGAGTTGTGTGTCTACTTATTTCCAGCATTCCCTGTTGGCACAAAGAAAGCCTGGTTTGTCCACTCCAGCCTTACTGCAGCGGAGATCTGTACTGATTGCTAACTGAGAGTGCGGGGCTGGGAATGTGTGCAGCTGGGACAGCAGGAGCAGCATAGCCTAGCCGAGGTGCAGACAGCAGAGAGGGCGGGGCTGGTGGCGGAGGTCAGAGGAGGTAGGGTGGATGGTGGCAGGGCTCTTGACCTGTTCAGGGAGGGAGGGGCCTGGGTGCGCCATCCCCTGCTTGGTAGTCATATTCCCACCACATTTTGGCAGGGCACACAAAGGTGCAAATGGCTGTCAGTGGAAGGGTCCTCACTCCCCACCAGTTATATATTCAGGTGATAGTTTTTTTGCCTCCCTCCTTGTTATAGTTCACATCTGGAGCATCCCCCAAAATGTCATGTGCTGTGGACCCAGCTGCAAGCCTGTGGTGCTACTGGAAAGTGGGGCAACTGTTAGGAGAGGAGCCTGGTGAAAGAAACGAGGTCACTGTGGCATGGCCTCAGAGGGGATATTAGGACCCTGGCCTGTTCCTCTTTTCCTCTCCTTCCCAGGTGAGCAGATTTCCTCCACTATGTGCTCCCACTAGGATGTGTCACTTCCCCGAAGGCCTACAGCCACAGCCCAAGCAAATATGGACCAAAATTTCAGAAACCATGAGCCAAAATAAACCTTTCTTCCCTTTAAATTGTACAGCTCAGGTATTTTGTCAAAGAGATGCAAAGCCAACACACTCCTTGTTAGAAATATCTTAATTAGGTGAACCTCAAAATTCCTACTTTGTCATATCTTTAGAAGCCTTTTGTAGACTATAAGATGGCAACGTGAAGTAGACCCTCGATATATGGAACACATTTTGATTTCTTTCTGTGTAGAGCTAAAATCCTGCAGACATCATAAAACCCTAGTTTTCTTGAGAGAATAATGGTGGAAAATAGCCTACATCTGAATATTGGAAAATACTTGTTTAATATAAATATAGATATAGGTTTGATTCTTTTGTTATGCTTTGCCTCAAAAGGTGAGTGGGACTGACGGGGCACAGAAGAAGAAATCGTGCCACAGAAAGAGATAATTAACTCTCTCCTGCTTAACAAAAATGAAGAAAGAAGATTCACTGAAGTATACGTGCCTTACAGAATCATCTTGACCTGAGTCCAATCCCTTGCCTCCCGACTCCTGCCGGTTCCCCCAGGGCTAAGCCCGGTTTTCACACACTGACATTCAGTCTTGGGACGAGTACAGAGCAGGAGAGGATGAAGCTAGGTGGGATGTCCACTGGGGAGATCAGCTTTGTTAACCCTTATTCTCTGATTTGGGAGTAAATGAATAGATTTGAAAGGGAGTAGGCCGTCTGAGTGTCCCTAGAGGCCTCTTTTAGGCAAATGCAAACCCAGAGCTGCAGCTCTTTAGCTCTGTCTAATTATAGGGCCCTTAACA